GGGGGGCAGGAGGAGTGTGCAGGAAGTGAAGAAGGGGGTGTGAGGTGAAGTGACCAGTATGAGGGAAGAGGGTGGCCAGTTCCCAATGCTCCCGTTGGGTGTAAGCAAGGATGGCACTGGCCCTTTAAGTGGGGGTGCCAGTCGATGCCCTCCCCCAGCCAACCCAATTCATGGGCACACTGAGCATGTGCAGGAGCTGTGCAAGCGCAGGGGAGGGAAGTGGGGGGATAGATTCCGGAGGGAACTCCTCACCCTCCTACTTCCTGTAGCTGCCCCCACTCTCCTTCCTGGGTCTGACAAAGGAGCCCATGGTGTTCACCCAATCCCTTCCCCCACCCCAGACCCCGGTGGGTGCTGCCCTCTCAGGACGCTGGGCGTGCAGGGGGTGATGGGCAGGGCCTCTGGGCCCCTGGAAGTCAGGCAGCCCCCCTGCTGCCCTGAGTGACACACACACTCAGCTCAGGGCCATCCTCACTTCTCTGATGTGGGCGGTGGATAATCTTCCTGCTACTTAACATGTTCGATATCATTCCATTGGCACCAGGGTTTTTAAAAGAACCATCTACCTGTGATGAAGCTCTGCTTTGAAAATTAAAAACAGCTAAAAAGATGAGGTCCTAGCCCCCTCCCCCAGGTTTAGCCTCCAGTCTAAACTCAGAGGAAGCAAACAGCTCAAAGGCTGTTACCGCCTGTCCAGCTCCCTCCCTGGTTCTCCCCCTTCCCCCACAGGCAGTTGGCTCCCCAAGTCCAAGGCTCAAACTCTGCTGCCTGAACTGGCTGTATCCTCTGGACCACCCTCCCTCTTACTGTTCCCCCACTTCAAGCCACCCTGTTTCTGCAATGGCCCCCCATACCTCAGCCCTCCTTCACCTTCCTGCCCCCCCTTGGCCTTTACTCTCTTCCTCTTTTAATCTCTCTCCAAAGTACCCTTCTTTCTTTTTATTTTTTTTAAAGATTTCATTTATTTATTTGAGAGAGAGGGGGCGAGAGCACAGGGGGAGAGTGTGAAGGAGAAGTAGACTCCCCACTGAGCAGGAGCCCGATGTGGGGCTGGATCCCAGGACCCTGGGATCATGACCTGAGCTGAAGGCAGATGCTTAACGGACTGAGCCACCCAGGCGTCCCTGGCTACCCTTATTTGTAATCGACGTGAAATTCACATAACAGAAAATTAACCATTTTAAAGTGAAACAATTCAGTGGCATTTAGTACATTCACAAAGTGTGCAACCACCATGTCTATCTAGTTCCCACGTTATCACCCCAAAAGGAAACCCCTGTCCCCATGAAGCAGTTAGTTACTTACTCCCCACTCCCACCTTTCTCTAGCCCAGGCACCACCAATCTGCCTTCTGTGTATGGATTTACTATTCTGGATATCCTGGTGGTAAAGCCAAGAGGGAAAGACTGGTCTCCTGGGGCCTGGATCTGAAATGACCTGAGAGGACCCGAGGGCCTGTTGTAGAGGGAGCACTGTACCTGAAGGCTCGAGACCTGTGATCCATCCCAGTTCTGCTTCTGACTCAGGGGCCTCCTCTCCTTTGTTCAATGGCATGGGGGTTGGGGGGGATGCTTCAGGCCAGTCTAGGATCCCGGGCCCTTCGGGGCCTATCCCTGGCCAGGGGGCTGTGTCTGGGAATATGCTGCCTGGCCTGAAAAACAGAACACCTCCTTGATCCTCTTGGCTCCTCCCTGCTGGGTCCAGGCAGTGCACGTGGGTCCGGGGGATGGTGTGATTCATACCGGGGGGTTTGGGGTCAGATGCATGAGATGAGGCATCTTTGCAGTCAAATGCTCTACCCCTGAGCTATACCCCCAAGATGAGGCATCTTTGGCTCGGAGAGGTTGGGAAGCTAGCAGCCAGTTCTGTCTGATTGTGTTTGAGCCGTTGACCACTGTGCTCTCCTGTCTTCAAAGAGATAAAGTAAGTTAAGGTTTAGCAAAGTGCTAGTGGTGTGGGAATGCTCTCAGATGGAAGCGGCCATAAATTTTACTACTTGCAGGGTGTTGTGTAATCAAGAAGTGAAGAGCTGCATTCCTAGGGGGTTCTTGGGAGTTCCTCTGGCCACCCCCTTCCCTTATCTTTTGGAGAGCATTTCCTCCTTGCCTTCTCTACTGGCCTCCCGAGGATGACAGTTTTGTGGGGGCTAAGAGGGGCTGCCTGGACCTTGAGCCCTTAGGGCAGGTGTGGGTGGGAAGCATGTCTTCCTCTCCCCCAG